ACGACGAATACCATGAAAAAGAAAGTCGAAACCTAAACTCGGCGGTTCCACAGGAACCCCGAGTAATAAGATCGAATATTATGGAATTGATCAAGATGAGAATAAGATAACGGCTTACAATCTTGGCGTATTTTATAGCTCACATGGATCCTCCTCATTTCTTTGTTTGGTCTTAATCCATTTTTGCTCTTCTTTTATGAATATAAGCTCTAGACACTGATCAAGCTCACCATTTAGCCTTTAGACCGATAACAATTCCCCTTATCACAATAGAAATAAAAATACAGTATAGAATAAGGAGGACAATCAAATAAAATAACTTTTGAGCGATAAAAAAGAAAACTGCAAAGAAGAAAACATATATTTATCCTATTTTGTTGTTCTTCTTTCTAACGAAGTACGCATTCTGCCTTAGATCGATGTCCCCTTATAGTCATTATTTGTCTTCCAGTCGTCACTAATTCTTCATGCTTTTGTAGTTGTTGTTTTGTTTTGTCCATTTTTCTTTTAAATTGTGAAATTTCGAAAACAAAAAAAATATAATCTACAGCTGCATGGTATTTTTTTGGCTGCAAAGATGATTGAAGAAAATAGAAAACTCTCAATAATTAGGGAGTGTCATCTTGCTTTAGGTATCGTGAAAATGAATTAGGCACCTAATCTGGCACCTAAATACTTGACAGCCAAGTTTCAGAAACGCTCTACTATCCACACCCGACACACGCGGAACATTGATAATCTACAGATCCCACTATTCAAAACGGCCGCAGGTCAAAGAACTTTTACATACAGAGGCACAAAAATTTGGAACAATCTAAGCCCTTCATTAAAACAAGAACCCAACATCAAACATTTTAAACAACACCTCAAAACCAATCTTTTAAAAGATTTCCAAGAGTCCTTGTTGTAAATAATTGTACAATGTATATACAATTTTAATCTGTCTTTAATATATTTATATGTATATTTTCCTTCTTTATTTGTAAATAATCTCTGAAAAACCTTTCTTAAGGATGTGATTAATAAAGTTTATTATTATTATTATTATTATTAATTAGAACAGAGTATCATTGATTAGTCATATATTTATCTTAAAACACAAACATGAAGTCTGAACTAAGTCGACCTTTTGAAGTTTTTTTGAGATCCAAATGAAAATCTTGTTACCTGCAAAAAAAGTGTAAGCTAAACATTGCTTTAATAAATAGCCTCTAAAACAAATGGTCATTAACGGCTTTTAATTACTTCTACTGCATAAGTATTGAGAATAGGCAAGTCAGGAAATTAAGAACGCCAGCCAGTGTTGTTGTTGATAATGATCGAATTAGACTTGCAGTGACCATTAAGGTCTGAGGAAAGTGAAAAATGGGGTCATTTAAGATTCATTTAAAATAATACAATGTAATGTATAAAGAATATRAGATGGTAGCCTGCTGAGTATCAGGCTCTCGAAGGGGWTTRGGGYGGAGCGASAARGGAGAGAGAGCCTGACACAATCTTCTATCAAGAGCCGTGTTCTGCGGCCGTTTCATGGCCGAAACGTTGATTGGTATAGATGACAAAGGAAGTGACAGGAATTAAAATATATAATTATTATGTTACCAAACGACGCTATTATTCTTGAGTTTGAAAAGTTTGGGAAAGCTTTAATTGCACCCTGGTTCCATAGGCTTGTCTTTTATTCTTTTTTTACTATGTTATCAAGCCGTTCTTGAATCGCATGGTTTGTTTTTACGAGTTCAAAAACAAACCCTTTAACGGAAACGTCTCATATAACACTAACGTAAAACAATTCAAGATTATAGTGATAAATCCTCTAGAGCTTATTAAACGTCCACAAGTTGAGAAGCTGGTAGAAATCGGCATAAAAGCTGCAACTTTCTAAACCATGTAATAGCCAAATTTTGACATATAACCGTAACATCATGACACACCAACTTTTAGAGGCGTGAGCGGTTTCCTTGACCACCAAAGAAAAAACGAATGTTTTAAAAAACTACTTCGGAATTGATGAAATACGATTTTTTTTAAATGATTCTGATAAAATACACTAAAATCCATATTTCTGTCCGAGCATACCGCGTTTTATAAAAATCTTAATTTTTTACGGCAATTTTTGTGTTGGGCACATTCAAATGCCTCTAAGGTCTCTAAATTACGAACGAAGAAGAAACTCGCGGTATGCTCGGATACGATTTTGCTTTAGGATGTATTTCAGATGTTGGGCAAGTTTAAAATATTTAGTGTGTACGACCTTGTTGCTAAAATGAGCAGTTCATAACAAAATACTTTCAAAAACAGTTCATAATATCTGAAAAACAGCTCATAGCAAAAGAATTTTAAAATAGAATAAAAAACGAGAAACACCGGGCCTTTACAAGAAAGAAGTTAATGTGGTTCAAATTGACCACGGAAAACAGTCAACAAACTCATTTTTGGTCTCCAATAAACAGTTGTAGCTACATAACATGGGAAGTTTATCCTGTATTTAAAATAGATAATTCTGAATGAGCAAAAAACGACACTGTAACCGAATACTCGCATGTTCCAGGTAACAGAAACGCATGGTAGTTTGACCTCTGAAACGATCAAGCTGTGAAGACTTTATGTCGTGTTTCACAAACAAAGCATCAAGGATTTTCCCGCGAATTTATGAAGTTCTTGATTATTTTTCATGTTTAGAAGATGTATAACACACACAAGTTATTAATTATACCAAAATAAACCCACTGACCGCGAGAAGAGTCGAGAATTTTTTTGAGGCATGAGCCTTTCCTCAGACCTTAAAATGAACAAACATGCATAAATGATCTTATTGGTCGAGAGTATACCACGTGAAAGTCACAAAATTTTACTGTTTCCCGGCATGTCCACCAGGGGTCAATAATATGTTGTTGCTATGATTGGCTGAAATGTGCTGACTAATATAAAAAGTGTTTTGATTGGCCGGTCGCGTTTTTTCAGGATCGTGTACAGCCATTTCTGATAACTTGATAAGTGGAATCAGTCTGTCCGGGAGCAAAAAACAAAAACAAAAAACTAAACAAAAAGCGACCTGACAGACTGGTGGAATCAGACTATCTTTATCCATGAACATTGTATGTAAATCTTGCAAATAAGTATAAAATAAATACAGTGTACTACACTAACATCCATTTTGTGTGACTTCAAGGAATATTTTAATCCGGTTGTTTGTTTTAACATTGAGACAAAACTCGTATTTTTGGAATTTTTCTTTCTTATTGAAAACTAATCTTACAATCCGACGGGCAAAGATGTCACCAGTGTGCGAGGCATTTAAAAAATTTTCGTTCAAAAATAATAAGGTCAAATATCAAGAAATTGAGGAAAAGATTTGAATATTAAAAACATGATGCTGAACTTTGCGTCGTATTAGTCAATGCAATCCTTTATCTTTTTGTTAGCCTTCTCTTCATTCGTACTCTATTTTTGAATCTTTTCTTCGTTAAGAGGTTCACGTCTGGCTTTAGATCGATGTCGGCTTATATTGCTTTTGTTT